TGGTCGAGTGTTGTATTAACAGAAATTTTCTGCTTTTTCGGGCTATTAAGGCACATGCACCTACATTATCCAAGGAAGCTTTGTGCCAAATTAATTCGAAGTTGATCCAGTGGTTCCTGAGAAGTCGAAAATGTTAATTAAAATTTAATAAAGGTATTAGTTATAGATGACAGAAAGACAGACAGGATTTTTTTTTTTTAATGAAAGAAGACCACTACCGCACTTTCCGAAAAATTTCATATTTTTCAAACTGTACATATCGTAGAAAATAAAACAGCCAAACATAATATCAACTACTGTGATTTTTGAGTAGGACAATCTTAATTTTGAATGTTTGTTGTTAAAATTTCATCTCTGTTATTAACTGTGTAAAGAAGTTATTTAAGATTACACTAAAGTATGAATTTTGCTGTGTAGGTCATTGGTCACAATTGAGGAGGTTCGATCCTGAGCTTTTGAGCAGATTTTGGTCTGGGCCTTTATTTATAAAATTTTGCATCATTTTTAAGTTCAAACATTAAAACTGGATTCTACGATGCAAATTAAACTATATCCAATGAAAAAACCGCAATTAAATTCCATTCAAATAGGATAAAGCCAGGAACTATGTTTTGTGGCTGAAGGTTTTTTAGGAGAAAATGATGATTTTTTCCCTTTTGAAATATATACAGTGCTGTTAAGTTTAGATTCCTACTTTTCCATGCTGGTTGCACACAGAGCTGTTTTTTGCAGTGAAATGTTTTATGCTGGTTCTGAAATATTTATTGAATTATTTCTTATGAATGCTTTCATGATATTGTGACAAATAAAGTAAATATATTCTGAAAGTTCAAGAAAAATTTTAGCCAATTTTAACATAAAATTAACACTTTTTTTAGTAATATCTAAAAATTTACATCATAGACCCCCACTTTTGTTTTTCTTTTCTGAGTATATAAGATAACTAAATTCAGCAAAAGTTTAAGACTTTAAAATAATTTTCTTGCTTGTTAAATCTTTAATGCCAGAAAAATAACATTTTTGAGTGCAGAAAGGTCAAATAATTGATTATGCAAAGCAATTTGAAACTTTTTTTCTTAGTCACAATTTTAAAGTGTCCTTTTTTTTTTAAATAGAATGATAGTTTATTTTGTCCCTTGATTTATTTGGATAAAAACATTGGAGGGAAAACGTCGAAGATTTATTTTGGATCAAGACACAAATTTCAGTGCAAAAAGGTCATATCAAATGTACTGTAGCGCCAAAAGAAGCATATTGACCCCCCATTTTTTGTTTTGATTTTTAATTAAGCTATGTGTGTAGAAACTAAAAATATACTTGACAAAAAAAGTTTAAGACTTTAAATATCAGGATCCAACCACGTTAAATGAAATCTTGCTTTATAAATTATCAATTTCTTGTTTCTATAGTCATATAGGGCCGTTTTCCTGTTTTATATCAAGACTGAGTAATAGTAAGAATAATAATTTTTTTTTTTTAAATGTGCATTAAAAAACTTATTAAATTAAGAAAACCAGCTGAGAGATTTTCACCTTTCAGTTTCATATTTATAATTACGTTCTTCGAGTCAAATATCACAAAAACGGTTATTTTTTTTATTTAAAAAAAAGGAAAAAGAAAGAAAGAATAAAGAAAGAAAAGACAACTTTGAAAACTTAAAGCATGTGGTTTTAACGCAGTTTGAACAATTTAAAAGTAAACCCTTCTTAAAAAACTTATTTACTTGAAATTCGGCAAATTTTGAAAAATGTTTACATTTTGTATTTCTTAAGCCAATTTAGCGCAAATCTATAGACATGAACTAATCGGTATACTGGGGTCCTGGCGCGCCTGCTTGTGATCCGCCCGCGACCGAGTTATGACGTAGGGAAGACCTCGATACGCATGAATTCATCACGTGAAAGTATGTTTACCAACATTAGAGGTCTTTCCACTGTTGTGTAAACCATATTTGTTGATTGTGCATAGGACTAGCAGGGGACAAAGATGGCCCAGTTGACTATCAGAGGATTTTTTAGAGGTCTTAAAACAAGCAATGCCACGTGTTATGTATCGGCATTTCAAAACGGACGCTGCAGCAGGACATTATGCAGTTCATCATCTTCGCCTTCAGACGAATCATTGACCTTAGCAGAAACAGTGGATTTTTCAATTCACGGTCCAAGTACACAAGGCATTCAAGGAGGACATGACGATTATTTGGAAATATCAGAACCAAACGTGCAAACAAATATTTCAACAGATGTAGAAGAGAAAGAAATTGCTGATACGATGAACTGTCATGGTTCAGTGAATCTGCACTCTTCAATGCAGAGCAATGTACCAGAGCCCTGCGATTGTAAAATTGACTATGCAGAACATTATAATATGCCAGGCGGGGGTGAAAGGCTGTATGATAAATACATTCAAGAAATTCAAGTTGCCAACCATCCCAAGAACAAGTGAAATTTAATGGATATGTTTTGACAGTCTGTATTTGAATTAATAAATTGTTTGTTTGTGGTTCGTCATGTCTGATTCATTGATTATTTCATTCTTGTATTGAGGTCATTGTACCACATTACACAAGCAAAGTTAACTTGTCTCGACTTTACTGTGTTAGGCCTTTTTATATATAACGACTTCCTTAGATATCATGTACATTAAGTGACTGTTGCATTTGGATTTCTCTGTTGTCTTTTGTGTTCAAAGAATAAATTTTTATTTTTACTCCATGACTTTTCTTTAGAAATGTTAATTTTACTTACTGCACAGTAGTCATTGATGGGGAAACTTTCTGCTAAGAAACGAAGGAAAGCTTTTATTCGATGCATATGCATATATATACTTCGTTCAAATTAACTAGTTTATTTCTTGTTATAATAGTCTGAATTTTAGAAGAGTTATATTGAAAAAGATAAATAAAAATTGAGTGTAATGATTTTTTCCTTATTTTTTTTTTTTTTTTACATTAAAAACCTTTTTCTAATACAACATGGAATGTTATAAACTACATAATTTATATGAAATTGTTGCATATGTAGCTCCCTGAAACAGTAAAATTGAAACCAGCTGATCAATGTTTGAACCAGTAATAAGTTTTAATTTGATTGAAATATGCATAACCGTAATGTTGCATATGCCATTCTTCTTAAATTTAACCCCAGACCCCGAAGCAAAGACACGATTTAATACCGTACAGACGTAAGCCCTTGATTTGAAGGTTCATTAATTAACTTTGTATGAGGTAAAGCCCCGTTAACATGCGCTCATTTACTTAAGGTGTAAATTTTACGTGCATGCAAATGTGTAAATGCAATCTTCATATAAAATTTATTCGATTTTTGCGATGCGTTCACATGCACTTTCAAACTGTACGTAAATCAGTATGAAGTTTGCAATTTCGATGTATTTTGTAAATACTTGTTTGGGCTTTCTCGTTGCTCTTCAACTCAATGTTCCTTCCATACACTAAGAAGAACATTGTCATTTCTTAATTGTTTAAATGTTGACTTTAAAATAATAATTGCACTTAACAATACAACAGTTGGTCATCGTTCTTTCTCATATAAAAAGATGCATTTTTTAATGAAATCGATGATGCTACAGTATATTTTATTTAAAGACAATTTCAATATTTCTATCCTTGTGTAAATTTTGCTACGCGTTCACATGCATGACTGAAAATACACCAGGAGTAAATTTACTCATTAAAAGATAATTTGAACCTAGTCTGACTAAATAAATTTTGCACTAGGAGTAAAAATACTCACGTTCAAATCTTGCCCCCCCCCCCCCGTTCACATGCGCAAAAACACACCCAGATGCAATATTTGCATATATGTAAAATGTGTTCAGCGTGTGTAAATATAGGCGTATGCATGTGGTTGGGGCTTTAGCTACATAATTTCTCCAAATCGAGTCCGGGGGGAGGGGGAGGGATCAAAAGTTCCATGTCTGACAAAAAGCTAAATTCAACATTGGTCTTCATTAATTTAAGATTTCCTCCAATCCCTCAAAATTAAATATAACGAATATTGATTTGCAAGTACTAGTATGTTTACTTTGCACTTTTTATGTAATAATCAACACCAGTCAACAAAAACTGTTGCGACCCCCCCCCCCTTTTTTCCCCTTTACATCAGACTATGAATTTAATTTTTTTCACAAACTTATTTTTTTTATTTTGCCCCTGTACCTTTTTAAACTTATTGTTAGGGAAAACTGTGTTAACTTACAGTTACATATTAATTATGGATTTTTTTTTAATCTATTGGCGAAACTTTTAAACTGGCCTTGGCTGATATACTACTATGCGATAGAGTTACTTCTCTTTGACTACACAAGTTTGTTTGTTCGTTTGTTTTTCTTAACATTGTCAGAGAGCAGATCTGTGGCTGCCATGGAAGAGAGGGAGTAATAGTGGACTATTTTATACATGTATTTGCGTATCACAACACAGCCAGTGAACTCACTGATCAATATAATTAATATGGCCTATGGTAAATTAAGGAATTCAGTTTGATAATATAAAATAGGAACAGAATATTCAATTAAAAAACAAAATCAAAATTCTTTTATTCATGTCAGTCTACTCTTATAGGTAAAGGAACTGAAGAATGTATCTTGTCAACATTTAATTTTATGTCATGATTACCCAAATTTTTAATTTATCTAATGAAAAATATATAAGGTTCAATAACCTTTGCATGCATTTCACTTGATATAAATTTGAAGTTTCATTATGAAATATGACTCGGCTTTTCTAAAATATTAATGAGATGCCTTTGTTTTTAATCAGCTGTGTGCTGGCAAACCACCGGATTGTGCCCGGGTTTTAGAATACCACAATCACGTGACCTAATTTTTAAGCAGTTTGGCGGATATCCAGTGTGTGTTGAAGTGAATAGGTATATATGTTGAATCCTGTTAGTTTTTAAATCCATTTAAATGTTTTATTTAAAGTGCAGATTATTGGTGGGTAGAAATTTTATTTTGAATTTCATCTTTATCTCATTTTTGACAGTGGCAAGAAGATGTTCTTGATGTATGAGATTCCAAATCTATTTTCCATCCGATGCTTGCCGGAGCTTGTACGGAACTGATTCCTTTGTAAATATACAGGTAAATATTGTTGTTGATTATGAATGGGCTATGATTTAACAATGATTGGTATGAAAACAATGCGTGCGATTGTTATTTTGGGTAGTATTTGAGCTGTCAATGCGAAAAATTTGTTTTCATCGGTGCGACAGTTAAGTCGCCACAATGCTTGTTGTTAGGTACGCTAAAGACCTCGTGAGTGATAGAGAAAATCCGGGAAAATGGTAATTTTGTTAAATTCATTTGTAAGAGTGTTTGGATAAGATTTTAAAGTATTATTTACATAGGGTATGATATTGAGTAGTATAAATAGTCGAATGTGTTATAAAAAATACTACAATTTTTTTTTTAAAATTTATTCACATGAGAGGAACTGACTCATACATTATTTGTTTACACAACAGGTTAGGTTAAAGAGACAGTTTTAAAAAGTATTTGGTATGCTGTATATATTTAAGCCATTGTAAATGGTTTACTACATTGTATTTATTAAACAACCCAAGAGTTACATATGTATTTATTAATTTAAAGTGAAATTTGCCATTTTTAGTATTCAAATACATCTTCATTTCAATTTTTAAAACAATTGTTCACATAATTCAGATTTATTTATGATATAAAAAATGGCATAATAATTTCTTAGTATATTTCAAATAAATCAATATTAATATTAAATATATTGGTTTCAAAATATTGAGAAATGTATGAATGTACACATGTATATATGGTACTTGTTGTTAGCTGCTGCCTGAAGAATGGAGGTCCACAACAGGCGGCCTTACTCAAGACTTAGCTTGAAGGAGGAGTTTGATTTTGATATCAATGACATCAGCCGGGCCTCCACTCCAACCAGCACCATGAGTTCAAAATCTGAAGGGCGCAGACGAGAAAAATCGCACAGGAGTCACTCAGTTGATGATTACAAACGCAAGATTGCACGCCTGAAGAGTGAATTGGAGGCAGAAAAAGCTCGGACCAAACAGATTTATCGAGAAAAATCATCCGAAATTAAGTCTCTACAGGAGACTTATAAGAAAGAAAAGGAAAAGGAGATCAGTAAATTAGAAGTGAAGCTAAGTCAGGAAAAACAGAAAGAAATAGAAATTATACAGGAGAATATAGCCAAAAAGAAGGACAAAGAATTACAAGAGGTGCTCAAGTAAGTAATGTCAAAATTATTTAGATGTTATATTGAACACGGTACACAGCATGGGTTGTTTTATTTACGTACATATAGATTAAAACTCCATAATTTCTAAAACTAAAGAAACAAAAAAGTTTGTACGTTTTGATTTTCATTCATAGGAACTTATTTAAAGTTTAAAAATCTTATCCACATACAGGAAGAACTAGACAGGTACAGACTAAAATTAAAAAAGTGATGTTTAAAATTTTTTTTAATGACAATTGTATAGATACAAAGAAGAGGAGGTCAAAAATCTCAGGGAAAAATTTGAAGAGGAGAAATCTAAGGCCCTTCAGTCAGTGGTGGAGTCAGAGAAAAAACAGTATGAACAAAATGCAGAAAAGATGTCCAAGGAGATTGAAAAGCTAAGGGAGGAGAAAAAGAAAATTGAAGCCGATTTCAAGAAAAAATGCGAGGACCAAACACGCAAGGAAAAAGAGTTCTCAGAGGTCAAAGAGGGCTATGATGCAGAACTGCGAAAGATACTCAACGAGTCCAAAAAATTTGCATTTGGGAATTTACAAAAACTCAAAAAAGCTGAAAAGGCATTAAGTGAGGGAATAATTTCAGAGGATGAAGTATTATCTATTACTGAATCAATTAGTCTTAGGGGAACTCCGTTTTCGGAGATTTCTAATCGCACTTCTAGTCGTCCCTTAGCCCTTCGAACGGCCGAGGATTTAGAGATTGAAAAATACCTGGCTTCTGCCACCCCATCTCCACACCCTGGATCCACACCCCTGGGAAAGTCAACTCCTGGATCTGTCTCTTTAGGAAGGTCAACTCCTGGATCCGCACCCCTTGGAAAGACTTTTACATTGGATGGAAAATCACCATTTCGTTATATTACTGTTCAAGAAAAAACTGATGAAGAGGACCAAAGCAAAGAGGTAAACTAAAAGTACATTGTATTTAAAACATGCTTGCATGTTCAGTTGATATTTTTTTTTCAAATTCATGCACTCTCTGGGTAATTTTACCCTTGCTTGTATGGCAATTGATCTTAAAATTTTAAAAGGAATTTAGGTATAGGTTGAACCTTCCACACCCATTGGAAGTAGACAGTATTATCTTGGACATTTGAATATTCTCAATAGAACTCTTTATGACTCATATATATATACTACTTCCAAACATATGTAGGATTTGAAGGAAAGAAAGACAAACTTTTGATTACAAGGGAAGGTTTCTGTAAAAATCATTAAATACTCAATGCTTGTTTATTTATGTGAAAATTATTCTATTCAGATCTTTCCCTCAGTACGAATGTTGATGAAAATCTCTTTAATTCTTTATTCTGTTCAAAACCAGAAAGAGTTTTTTTTTAACCTGAATTTATGAATTTTTAATCATATTAATATTAAAGGTGTTGCTGCACCTTAGAGAAACAGTTTTCATTTTCATGTATATAAATCTAACATCTTGTGTGTCCATAAAAATATGTGGCATCAGAGACATATATGAAATGAACCAGAAATTATTTAACATGTATAATTCAGCATCAAACCTTTACATTTGACTTGTAAATTGTATAATGGCCACATTATGTCTGTCCTAGCTAGGCATGGTATTGATTTTCTGACACTTTCACTTGATTGATTATTGGGAATGAAAGCACATGTGATCATGTCGATTTAAAGGAAGTACATCAAAATGTACTTTAATGTGGTTTTCTTGCTTGTTTGGAATTAAAGGTTTATCAGAAATTTCTTGTAACTTTGAAGATGAAAGCTCCAAAAAATTTTTCTTTGTCACATTGCCCATTCTTTCACTGAGTGTAGAATATTATGTTCTAACGAAAACATTTTGCAATTGATAAGCCATATATACCAGTGAAACTTCAGTAACTTTAGCCAGTTTTGTTTTGATAGACATACTGTTAAGTACTGGGGATTTTATAACAGGACCTGTGAAAATTATAATTTGGGCATTAAAATTCCTGATCAGCATTTTTGGCAAGCCCCCAGAGAAGTTAAAAAGTTTAATAGCTTTATCAAATTAATGTTTGGTTTTACTTTCTAAGGCTAGAGGTATAGCCAATTATGAAGTGGATAAAAGTCAAACTTGACCTTTTCTCCTGGACTTTTTTTTTCTTTACTTGTTTGGCAAGAAAATTCAAATTTATCTTGTATGCTGCTGGGTCAGTTGATTATATCCTAGTGTGATTTAGGGGGAAAAATCAATGAAATGTTCTTTGGCAATTTTATTTAGTAAAGAAACCAAACATTAAGTTAACCCCTCCAAAAGTGCCTACAGGATATGAATAAATCTCCTGACTCTTACAGAGATTTAACTTAAAAATTGAACAAAAAATCATGGCATATAATTTCTTCTTTACCTTACTTTACTTACTTATCCTCTTCGTCCCCTATGGGACATAAGGCTTCAACAAGCTGTCGCTGTCTTCCTCTGTCCTTTGCCACATGCTGTGCCTATCCCCACGAGTAGCCCATTTCCTCTAGCTCTGTTCGTGGTCTGCCTCGCTTCTTCTTTCCAGATGGTGTCCAGTGTAGGGATGTTTTAGGTATTCTACTCTGGGGCATTCTCATCAAATGTCCCAGCCATCTCAATCTTCTTTGCTTGATTTCAGTTGTTTTGCTTTTCTTGTGCAGGTCTCTGTTAGAGATCTTGTTCGGCCAGAAGATACGGTGGATTTTTTGAAGACAGTTGTTGTGGAATGCCTTTACTTTTCTCATGTCTCTGTCAAAGACATGACAGCATTCAGACCCATATAGGAGAACTGATTTAACATTGCTGTTGTTGGACTGTAGTTGTTTGACTTCCAGATTGCCTGAAGTGATGCATTTGTATGGTTTCTGGCATTTAGTTTTAATTTACCCATTAACTGTGAGATAACTTGACAAACTTGAGAAAAAAGGACCCAGTCTTTCATTATTGTCAGTGACAAGCTATGTTGATGGCATTGGATTTGAGGAATAGATGCAACAGATATATTGCAAGAAAATTAAAGATTGTGCACCATTTTCAGATTCCTCTTTCACTTTAGGCAATTAAAGATGCTTTGATAACCTCGCTATCTTGAGGAATTCATCATAGTTCCACTTCAGTTTAAATTTTATGTATTGGGACTTTCATCTCTAGAACATCAAAGAATGTACTGTGTATTTACTACAATGCCACTGATGTACTACATATCTAAAAGTTTAACAAAATATTTAGTGGTGTTTAGTCAGGGTTCATAAAATATTTATAAAGCAGCTTAAGCCTTTCAGAAGTTTTTGTGATTCTGTGCAGTTTGTATTTTGGTAGTAAATTTAGACTTTGTAATTGTGTTTATGAAGGAAAAAGGAGCCAGTTCTTTTTCTGCTAAATTTAAGGTGCGTCAATGCAGATATTTTGCGAGAAGGTTTTAGCAGGCCAATTGTTTTTATTTACACATATGTGTATATATATGAAATCAAACGCACCAAATCCTATTGTGTCTGTTTAAACTCCAACCCAAATACTCGGGTAAAGTTTGGTTATAGTTTATTTACTAATGACCCTCCGTTCAGACACAAGTTTCGTTTACAACTTGAAGCACGCCAAATTCTTTTTTTGTTGGAATTTTTAAATGTCAGAGACCATTCAGTTAATCCCTATGAAGAATCATCTAATGGAGAAAAATTATTGGGCTGTATCTGATCCCAATGCCATTCAGGGACCTTTATGTTTAGGGTTTGATGGACTTAAGAGGCAGTCCACCGAAAAACCAGGCAATGGGTGGCACATCGCATGTCATTGATTTTAATTATTTTTTGCATGTAGACTTATTAAAGCAAGTGTTTACACATGACAACATTAAAAAAATTTTAGTGCTCCTCTAGTCCTATTTTTAGTAAATGCTTAATTTTAAGTGCAAAAAGGTCAACATAAGGGTAAAAAAAATTACTACGTTTTTATTTTGTTTTATATGTAACAGATACTCAAATGCTGGATGTGTCGATGAATATTATTTATAGCATAGACTCTTATCTTTTATTTTATTAATGAATAAGACTCCAATTTATACTTCTTTAGAAAAAATTATATGGTCCAAATTTGAGTTAAGCAAGTAACTTTTTGAATTCAGTATCCAATTTTCATTACGTTATAAAACCCAATACATTACAAGGACAGATTTTTTTTCTTATGTTATTATGAATACAAAGTACAAACTTTTGAATCACTCAATAAAATCAGTGGGAACAGGTATATTGAAAGAAATAAAAGGAGTCAAATTTACCTATTTTTTTTTATATATATATAATTTTTCCAAATGAAACCGATCCCGACCGGAATTATATAAAGAAAAAAAATACTATAATTGTAATGTTAAATTTGGCTCTTTTGTTGTAATATGAGTAAAAACTTACTTGATTTATTTTTTTAACATGTTATATAGGTGGCAGGTTCCTTTAGTTTGATAAATTTGTTAATTTTGCATTATTTTCGATCGGATCGGGATCGGTTTTTACTGTAAATTTAGAAACATTTCCTAAATTTGGCTCTTCATTTTAAATTTATCAGAAAAATATGTTTGTCTTTTATTTCTTTTCAGTCATTTAACTGTTTTTAAATGAGTGTAACCATAGATTCAAATTTATATATTATTTAAATTACTAATGTCTTTTACGTACATGAAGATTACATGTAAAACATCTGATTGAATTCTTAATAGACACTCCGTATTTAAAAAAAAGTATTTGTACATGCATTATGCAACAAATGAGAGCAGACAGCTTTCTAGCTTTATTATTCATCTTATTTCCAAGTAAAATTCCTTTTTTATTTCCTCAGGAATTAAAGAGTAAATTCTATCAGTGGCGAAATTAAACTTGCCTAAATACAGGAAATATTTTTATGTGTACAGTCTCGACTTTATCAAGTTTTTTCTTACCTGTCATCTGTAAAGCCTTTTCCTCTTTTACAAAATTTGATTTTATATAAATAAGAAAATAAGTTCTTTCATATATAGTATAATTATTCAAGAGCCGATAAATCGCAAGCAAAAAGCGAGGGGGGGGGGGGGGGGGTCATGACATCATTATTTTTAAGAATTGGTTTCATGAACGCAAAAACATTTTAGAATTGGCCAACATAGTCACATGTTTATACTCCATATTAAATGTGAGTGTGTGATTGTTTCAATCGCCAAATTAAAAAAATAAATAAGTAAAATAAAAATAAAAAACCGAAATGTTTCACTAAACCATCTTCCGTTTTAGAGCCAAATTATAGTGGGGAGTTCAGCAGTAGTTTAACTCAATAAATATATTTTTATAACTTATTTTTCAGGGTTTTTTTTCATTTTTAATCGTACTTCGGATTGTTTATTTTGATTTGACTGCATAGATAAATATATTTAAGTTTTTACAAATATCATGAAGTAAACATCTCAACTTCGTTGAATTAAGTGTTGCGTAAATCTAAAACATTCATCATTGATTCCCAATTCTATAAGAAATGTTCATGATAAACACTTCATTAATTATTTTTACGCTTATCCTAGTACATCAGTTTAAAAAAATTAGTTCTCAGACATGTATAAAATTACTTATCAAAACGTCATCTAGCTGAGACGCCGCCCGTGTTTAAAATACATTTTGATATTAAAATATTATTTAACATTTAGAATAATGCACTCTGAAGAGTAATTAAACAGAAAAAGAGAAATCATTTTTTCAAAAAATCTTTTTCTTTACACTTTTACGCAAAGAATTTACAAACTTCTCTGGAAACTTGTAACTATTTCATTGTGACGCAATATTAGTCAGGTATATGACGTCACTGATACATCAATGGAAACGTGGATTCAACCTGAATAATAGAGCCAATTTTAATCTAAATATTACGTCTGGAGGCGAAAATGAATTATATTTTGAAAATAAAGTATTTAGTTTTTTGTTTA